TCCTTCCACAACTGAACAATGTCAACAGCTCCCCACCTCCACTATACACAGTGGTGGTAAAATGCTGTTTTCCATACCTCAGATGGGGTGACTGCCAGAATATACTTGGGGCCAATCAAGAGTCCCAAGAGCTAACTTATGTAAGCTAGGGTCAGCATGCCAAGGATCTTACCTTTGGCTGCCACACTTATTAAAAACAAAAATGTCTGAAAATGGTTTCATCTAGATTATCAGTCAAATTACTGTATGTCTATTGATTGCAGAAAGAAACTCATCACACTGTGCATACCTTTAGATGTTATTTAAAATTAAAACAACGCATCATTATTTTTGAACCAAACATTCTTCTTGCTTATCAAAACCTAATGCCCACATTTTGCTCACGATGAAAATTAAGTACCATTTATGTGCTGAGTATGAGACTGAGGTGTGAAATGTTGTTAGATAATAAAGTATCCTGAATCCTCACAATCTGATGCTGACTTCGTTCACACTGGTTTATACCATTTATCAGACTTCACACAGCTCAGTGCCCTGCAGAAACACTAAAGGCTTTACAGTTTGTTACAAGTCACAGTTAAGGCTAATAATCTTCACCTGCACACCCTGTGGCGGGGAATCATTAAAGGTTTACTGCTGAGCTATATTCAGATTTTCTCAGACTCAGATCATGATTATTCTGTTTTGTTTCATTTAATAAAATGATCTTACAGTCGTTGAATGTTCACCACTCTGTCAGCTCAGAGGTCTTAGCTGTGCATAAGCTGCTTATATGTGCAGGCATATACGCACTGTTTCATTACATGGTAGTGGTCATATTTTATGAGTACGGTAATTGGTGAGATGTTGCCATTAATGGATATTTATGGTATACAATATATATAATATTTTCAGTTTTTATTGATGTACTTAGTTTAATGTGTTATAGAACTTGTGTGGAAATGCTATTGGGATCAATTTGTAATTTAGGCATAACGTAAATTAAAAGTACTTACTAAAACCACCTTAACAAGTGTTATAGGGTACACCCTTTTATCCTGTTAATATGAAACACATGCACATTGGTAATATCGTTCATTTAATTTAATCTCAGATGGTTCCTAAAGCAGCTAACTATACAATACGGGGATGTCTGTAAGCATATAATCAGCTTTACACACATTATTAACGCACACTAAGACATGCTGCATGTGTCTACAAAGCTTACGAGGACATTAAAAGATTGTAATCTATTTAATTGCCTAAGCTGTTGACTTATGCACACACATTAGTGAAGACATCTACGTGTTTATCAGGGCATTTGCCCCCTGGTGCTGAACAATCTGAATTAATGTCTTCTGCTGCTCCCACTTCATCAATACTCACTATATTATCACCTGGTTATTCATTGAATTTGGGGCAAAAAAAAAAGAAAAATCACCACAATGCATTCAAATTCTTGTGACATTATCAAAAAGATGATATCAGATGTGCAGAAGAGAAGGAAATGTGTAAAAATATGTTGTTGATTTTAGATATCTTTAGTCAACCTTCATCCACACAGTGACAAGAGAAATATTTATACTTAAAAAGGGACATTGCTCAAATAAATCCATTTCCAAAGGTTTGCTGAACAGCATCACAAACTTGATTAGCTGTTTAATTATTTGAGTTAAGATAATCAAAATTTAGGGTTTCTTAAGACTGCTGTGTTTCCCCTTCCATTATACAAGCGGGGCGCCCCGCCCTGCTAGCAGAGCGTAATACCAGGCGCGCAAGCTAAAAAGCTAAATTCGGCGCTCATGTTGCCTCTTTCCTCATGCTCAACTGATCCCCAACACCCTCCATGCTCGAAAACTGTCTGTACAAACAGCACGCAGCTCAGTGGTGTCACTGTGTCCCCCATCCCAAGGTAAAAAAAAAAAATCATGGACGAGATGAGCGCCCCGCCATGTCAAGTTAACTAGGGGAAACACTGGACCGTTAACTTTAAACAGTGAGGATGGATAGGTAGCACATTTGGAAACAGTTAAAATGCAAACAACATAAGCTGATGAAGCATAAAATAAAAACCAACAACAAAACCAATAAATTACTTCTGTATATACAGTAGTCCCTCGTTTACTGCAGGGGTTTGGTTCTGACCCACCCCCACAAGTACCGTAAGTGAAATTCCGCAAAGTTTATTTATTTATTTATTAATCCTTATTTGACCAGGCAAATCCTATTGAGATCACAAATCTCTTGTGCAAGGGAGGCCTGGGCCTGAAGGCAGTCTAACATGCATGTTTTTGTTCTGTGGGAGGAAACCGGAGTACCCGGAGAAAACCCACACAAGTGTGAGAAGAGCGTGCAAACTCCACACAGAAAGACCCCAGGTCCAACTGGGGATTGAACTCAGGACCTTCTTGCTGTGAGGCAACAGTGCTAACCACTGAGCCGTCGTGCTGCGATGCGAGTTCTGAGCCATGCCTCTTTTTGCTCCACGATGTTTGCTTCGTTTTTGAAAGCTCACATCTGTGCGGGACGTGTCCAGCTCCATTAGTGATTTGTGAACAACCAGAGCCAAATTAAAGACGGACCTACCTTTGTGGATGTTGAGGAACTGATTTATGCCGTGGAGCAAAGAATATGGAGAAAGAGATAAAAAGTTTCATCCAGGATAATGTCTAGTCAACAAGGGGGCCTGTTTTTAACGTGAAATATTAGGTAATGCAGTTCGTTCACACCAGTACATCGTTGTCGAGAAAGACTTATTGTATAAGACTGAATTATGATAAAATCCTGGCTGTTGTTTGGCTAGCTGTTAGCATAGATGAAAACTTCTGCCTTTTTTCAATACTTTGCACTCCATGACTGATGTCACATCTAAACAGATTCTAACTATTGACAACTATTTAACAAAACACCACTTCAAAAATGAACAGACTATCTCTTTAAGCTTCTGAGCTGATGCTTTACTCATCATTTTTGTCCCTTTTTCCAGCTTTCAGCTCAGGGTTACATCCAGCCTCGGGCGTCTTACCAGGACTTACTGAGATATACGAGCGAAATGGATTCAGAGGATACTTCAATGGCATGGGAGCCAGCTTCGTCAGAGCTATTCCATGTGCGCTGATTAACTACACTCTCACGAAAAAATTTGAAATTTTGTTTTCTTCCACTGAGTCTTGAGGAACATCAATGTTTGTGACTGTTAATGACATATAGGTTTCCAAAAATAACAGGAATCCTGAAAATAGGCTGAAGCAAATCTGGCTCTTTTTTCATTTATTCATTAATTAATTTATTTTGAACGTTGACACCTCAAATTCTCAAATAAAGAAAATAAAACCAACACAATGATTTGGAAATAATAAACCTGTCTCTGCAAGGTTAACCTAAATATGACAAAATGTAGATGCAGTCTGTCTTTGTTTTTAATGTGTATTTGTATGTTCTGTTGTGTGTTAATAAACTTTATAATTAAATAACTTCAGTTAGTGTGTTTGATCGAGGGGTCTTAAGGGGGATCTGGCTGGTTTTTTTTTTTTTTT